GAATGAATAAAAAGAGTATTTTAGATTATTTGGAGTTTGTGTAGTTCTCAGGATCCAGGGGAAGATAAGCACTTAGACAGCATCTAGCATTTCAGGAAAAACAGCTGGACTTGAGGACAAAAACTATCTTAGAGACTGTGCAATCATTTCAGGCTCTAATAGAGTCTGAAATATGGGTGTCCCCACTAAAACTCATGTTGAAATTTGTTCTCCAATGTGGCAGTGTTGGGAGGTGTATGTATCATGGAGGCAGATCCCTCATGAATAGATTAATGCACTCGAAGAGTGAGTGAGCTCCTAGAAGAGAGAGAGGGACCAATCAACAATAATCCCTGGACTAAAATGGCTCGGTAGAGTACAATAAGATTAATGGTACAAATTCCCCAGAGAGTAACCTCTATTGTCAATACTTAAAAAAAATTCCTAGAAAACTGAGACTTTAAATAAAGAGCACTAGTGTGGGAAATTCATAATGGTAACAAAGAAGAAACATAAGATTTAAAGTAACTTGATTGAACCACCACGAAGAAGTGTTACAAGTGAACCTAAATGAAGCAAAGTAGGTTAAAGAAGTTTCCAAATTTTGAGAATGAATGCATATTTCTTACTCCTTCTGTAGAAAACAGTAATCTTATTTATGATGTCAAAATTAAAAGTTTATCCATAGTTTTATTCTACATTTTGGATAGCAGCCCAAATAGGAAATAAAACTGAAAAATACTTACTATAGTAACCATATAATACAGTGTCCTCAATCTGTTTGCTGACATTGGCATTAGCCCAGTCCTAGGATAAAAAGAAACAACAGAAATAATGAAACATCCGTTTGCCTAACAATTTTAGTTGTTTTAATTGACTGAACATCACTTCTCAAATCTATCATTGACTCAATAAGGTAGGGTCTATGTCTTCAAGAAGTGAGAAGCAGACAAGTGAACAAATTTCAATACATAAATGATGAAATAAGATGACAACACAGCTCTGAGTAAACACATAGATAGAAGGTACCTAACTTAGACTGAAGATCAGGGATGGCTTCCCCAAAATGACTCTAAACTGAGACTTAAAGGAAAAGAGTCTTAGGGAAAAGGAGAGAAAATAGTAGGAGGGAGGAAAGAGAGAAAGAAACATACATGAAGGGTGTGAAAAAACTGCAAGAAGCTAAATATAGATTCACTAGAGCTTTTGGAAAGGTAAGAGAATGAGGTAGAGTGAGGAAGGGGAGGGGCATATGTTTGAGGGACCTGTGAGCCATATTAGTATTTTGAACTTTGTCCTAAGGGCAATGAAAAATAATGATGAATTTTATGCAGAGAGAGACAAATTTAATTTGTATTTTAGAAAGACACATTTGAACATATTATATACTTTTTTAAAAGTCAGTCTAAGCTCCTTTGCCTCATGCCACACAGTGTTCTTTAAATTACTAAACTTAGGGCTGGCCCGGTGGCGCACTGCTACAGTGCGCCGCTTGGAAGCGCGGCGGCGCTCCCGCTGAGGGNATCCGTTGCCGGTCACGAAAAAAGACAAAAAAAAGGAAAAAAAAAAAAACAATGAGACCTATATAAACTCACTTAGATGGGTATCCATAAAGTCCTTTTGAGTAAGGAGAAACATAAAAAGTTGCAACCAAAAGTCTCAGCACATGCCATCTTTGTCTAAAAAGTGTAATGAAAGAAACACCTAAACATATATTTAAAAATGGAAAGAAAGTGTAAATAGAGCTTATCACATGGAATGGGAAAGCACAAGGGAAAATTCTATGCAATGATTAGAAATGTTTTCATCAGTGATTCAAGTACCCAGATGACTACGTACACAATCAAAGCTTCAGCTCCTAAGAGCTAGGCTTTTTTTTTTTTTTTTGACAGCTGGCCAGTATGGGGATCCAAACCTTCGATCATGGTGTTATTAGCACCATGCTCTAACCAAACAGCAGTGCTTCTTTGGTGATTGCTCATGCATCGAAACAGAAGTTTAAAAAAGATTTTTGATGAATATGACAAAATTAAGAACAATGTATAAATGGACCAAAAGATAATTAAATCTATACCTTTTTTTTTTTTTTTTTTTTTTTTTTTTTTTTTTTTTTTCCG